AATTTACCGCGCTTACTAAAGAAGAAAATAGGTTTCAAAGCATTTATTTTGTGGTTCTGACACAGAAGTTGCCAACACCATTCAAGATTTCCTTAGTTCACAGAATTAGGCGTAAAGATAATAGGCCGACAGTAATCACTACAGAAGGTCAGTGTAAATAAAACAGCAGTGGGGAACTATGAGGGATTTGCTCACATTTTGTCAAGAAGCATGAAGAGAGCAAAACGAAGTCCCCCTTGGGACGTTGACTTAATATGGCAGGTCCATTGTAAGTAAACTGATGCTACCACTTGGGGCAGACCATGTTGCTCTCTTGAAAGCAAGTCTCTCTTCTAGAGTCTGAAGTTCTACATGTGCGATTAACTCCTTCAAGGCATCTTTGTAGTACAAATGTGTTATCACACATATAACAGTATATCATTTATATCATCATCTCTGCTTACTACAGACAGAAAAAAACTACCATCTTAGAAAAAGTAAATATGACCTATGTGAACCCAAGACTTCACCTTCAGGGCCCTGTCGCTCCTGATGCTGTGTGATATTCCAGGAGCCAGACACTCCACACCTCTACCTTCCTTCTCTGCAGGTTACTTGGTAGCTTAGGGACCCAGCAACTGAATAATGGCTTTGTATTTCTAAAGGTGACTGACCTTGAATGAATTACGAGAGAGGTAGGGTGGAGGTCAGGAATGACCAAGGCTTGAGGACAAAGTCCTTCAACCATCCAGAGAAGAGAAGATGGCTGAAAAGATGCTGACTAAGGCAGAAGAAACCAACGCTTTCCGCTTCAAACCTGCTTACAGCATCCCGCTGTCTTTCAATTTATGGGGGTTTTCACAACTGTAGACTTTGGCCACGTCTCCTGGATCCTGTAACCAGCACCAGAAGATCAAAGCTCCCCAGTCTATCCTCTGGAGATAAAGAAATATCATGTTTGGAGGACAGAATTTCAAACAATCCAAAGAATTTATTTCTGTGTAACTGACTTTCCCCAAGAAGAAAAACCTGGCCATGTGGAATATACACAATCAATAAATACAAGAGAAGAACTTCATGAAATTGTAGATGCTTAAATGATAATCCTATTTGAATTGGTATTAAAGAAACTATGGGGGACTTCGCTGGTGGCGCAGTGGTTAAGAATCCGCCTGCCAAGGCAAGGGGCACGGGTTCGAGCCCTGGTCCAGGAAGATCCCACATGCCACGGAGCAACTAAGCCTGTGCGCCAAACTACTGAGCCTGTGCTCTGGAGCCCACGAGCCACAACGACTGAGCCCACGTGCCACAACTACTGAAGCCCGCGCGCCTAGAGCCTGTGCTCCGCAATAAGAGAAGCCGCCGCAATGAGAAGCCTGCACACCGCAACGAAGAGTAGCCACTGCTTGCCGCAACTAGAGAAAGCCCGCACGCAGCAATGAAGACCCACTGCAGCCAAAAATAAATTAAAAAAATAAAAATAAAAAAAATAAAAAAGAAACTATGGTTCAGTGGGCATCAGACGGATTTGTCCTTCAAAAGTCCTTCAAAATCACTTGCCTTCAGTTTTCCCAATGACGGGGGTTAGATCAGAAACAAAATATCTAAGAGGTCTGGTGAGTGGCCAGGGCTCCAGCATCTTCCCCATTGACTAAAATAGCCTCACTTTCATCTCTTTAATATATTGAAATTCTCATGAACAAAAACAAAGAAAAAACAAAAAGGAAAATGATTTTAAAGGTCCTGGATGATTCCATCATATTATCTTAATCATATACCTCAATAAAAGTAGGAAAAGGGTTAAAACTGCTCATAATCTCTGGCCCTCTCCGCTTAGCTCCTTTTTTTAATACCTAGGAAGGTGCTGGCTAAAATATATCCCAAAATTCCTGCACAACTCCAGGGGGCGCCATTCATACCAAAGACAATATCAATGGTGTTCCCTGGAGCGTGCCACTCAGTGACCCCAAAAACGATGGTTTTTAGAGTGGTGAGGGCCTGTGTTTGAATCTCAGCCCTGCCACTTGAGGACAAAGGCTATACGATCCTTGGCAAGCTGTTTAATTACCCCTCTGATCCTATTTCCTTCTCAGTAAAATGGAGATAATAAATTGTATTTCCAAAGGCTGCTGTAAAAACTAAATGAGGTAACGTATGTACAGAACCTGATGGAGGACAGCACACCAACAGCAGCATCAGTTCTCTAAAATTACAAAATCGATCACATTTCACAGCATGGAAAACCATTTGTGTCTAGCACTTATGGCCCATACCGTAAGGACAAACCAAAAGATTTTGTGAAATTTGGAATAGATCTCATTTGCTGAAGATGGGGTAGGTACCCTAAAAGTTAAAGGGGTCAGAATGTAGTGACCTGAAAACGACACAATTTTTTTAAGTCTCCGAATTGTGATAACTGGCAGAAAGGAAGACTAATCAAGATGCTAATTAACTAGGGTGTGTTGGTACAACTGTTATCAAGGATAGGCGACTGTTTAAATAAGACAGGCTGTACTCATTAAGGATGTCTGTGGTGCCAACAAATTACAATGTGTCTAATTCCAACTTTTTTGCCTTCCCTGGGAATCTAGAACTGGGCAATATTTAACAGCACTAAATCTTTTATTTGATTCTTAAATTAAGAAGTGACTAACCTACACAATAAAGCTATAACTTATGAATTACAGATTCTCAAACGACAGACCTGACAGATTGTAGATATCATCTAGTCTAACCCCCATATGTTACACCAGGGAAAACTGAGGTCTAAGGAAGATGAGAGACACATCTAAGGTCACAGAGGGCAGAGCCAATTCTGGCACTTGGTCTCATTAACTTCTTATTTTTCTTACTACGGGAGATCAATCTTTAGTTTTACGCACTATGCATACCAACAATTTAACTATGGATATATAGATTCTTGTCTCAACTCAGCATAATCTGGGGTTCATAGGGCAGTGGAAGACATCGAAAGACTGGGCCAATGACAGAAGCAGCTGGGTGGGAATGTGTGGAAAGGTCTGAGGATATTCGAGAGGGTAATGCATATGGAAAGGCTGTTAGGGACCTGCCAGGCTGGGGTTTGGGTAGTGGCAATTAGGGTCTATTAAGGGACCAAACATAGAATGATTGTCCACATCGAGGACGTAACAAAGTGACTAGCTCATAGTAGGTACTTAGTACTAACATGTTGTGTGGTTGGATGATGAGCTAAGAGTGAATGAAGGAATGAAAGGGCCTGTTCTGAGAGAAGAAATGAGAGCTTCAGAGACAACAGAGAAGAGGGCTACCTAGCGCCGTCCCTTAGGGGAGAGTTCCCAGAGCTCTCCCTAACCTTTGCAGGAAGGGGGCGGCTTGTTTCCCTCATGGGGACGGAGGAGTGAGTCTGTGCCCCCTTGCTTCCGCCTCATATTTCCACTCTGAGGAAATGCAGTCATCCCCATGGAACCGCCTCTGCTTCTGATGCCCTCTGCTCCCAGGATGGAACCTGGAGAAGTGGAGTGCTCGAGAGAAAGTCTGTCTCCAAGAGCAACAGAAATTTCAAATGCACGTGTCACACTATTTTTTAGAGGAGACTCTGCTTAGGGGCCAGCCGGGCAAGCTACTGACCGTACTGATACTGATGGGGGAAATGTTTCATAGCAGGAACTTAAGATCAAGAAACAAATGTGATTCTAGGATACTAGAGAAGACCCTAAGGAAGAATGAGGGAAAGCTGGGGTTGCCTGGTCAATTTTCCATTCCCTGAAAATGTGACCATCTGTGGTCCTCAGCCTGGGTGTTTTAACCTTTGGCCAAGTCTGTTCAGGCTGGATTTTCAAAGCAGGATTCATTTGAACAACACTGGTGGCACAGACATGATAGAGTCTCATTATGTTTTCCAAACAGTAAGAGGTTTGTGTTTGATGTTTCCTTTCCTTTCAACATCTATGTCTAATATTTTTTTCACTTTTGTACCATAGGATGTAGTCACTTCGAAGAAAGTATGCACTCATCACCTCGTATTCCTCTAGGACCAAACAGAGAAGTGATAACACAAGAGTCTTTATCAGCATCTAAGAGAGGCCTTTCAAGGTTCATACGATGTGAGCAACTTCCTATTGAAGAGGCACACTAACGCTTCAGTGGCAAATAATGAAGTATTGACAGCACTTTCTCCCACAATATCTAGCAGACTAATGGCAAAATGAGAGTGTGCGTAGCAGCTGTTGGGACAGAACAATGGATTCTGCCTCATGTTCGTATGAAAGATAGATACAGCCCAAGGGGAAGGTGTACTGTCTCTATTGTGACCTTCACTTAACATTTGATTAAGACAAAGTTGGTACATTTTTAAAAAGATGCTTTCAAAACCAGGAGAACAGGTCAGTGAAAAGACCAATAATATACACACTCTTCCTCAACTCCCATAGTGACTGGCAAGGCTTTATATTTTTAGCACAGTTTCAAGTCTCTAAAAAGAAATGCCACCTAAAAGAAATGTGCTAAGCACCCTCTAAGTGTTTCTCATTAACTTGCCAACGCTGGTACTCGTTCCTTAAGGCTGGCTTACAGCACTCATCCTACTTCAGCTCTGTCTGCCATTCAAGGAATAAATGTGAGACTAGGTGCTATTTGAAAGAAAGGGACTGTATCTGTAGGAACGGTCATATCAATATTTGTAAAATATCTTGAGAAATACTAGGAAAAAGCAACCCAGGAGAGTTCTGCGATGAAATGGTAGGGAAGAAACCAAACGGAAAGGTTTCTCTAATAAAGGGACAGGTTTGTTCTCATCGTACAAAGAATCTTAGCTAAGGAGTTAATTCCTTTTAAAAGATCAGCTTTTGGATAAGAGTGAAAACATACCACTGTGTCTAGATTAGCATACGATGAACTCCCGGAGTGGTCCTCATGCGGTCCAGCTCTGAGCGTCTGGATTCTTTTTTCCTGGTCTTTAATTACGCTGCTGAACACCTAACTGTATGTAAAAGTGCGTCTAAGGAAACAGAATGAGTAAAGTCACACAAACGCCCACTCACCTCCCATGATTTTGGACTGGCAGTTAATAAACTCTGGCTTCCTGTCCGTGAGGTAGCGCTGGCAGGTGTGGTGGAGGATCTGGAAGAAGGTGCATTTTTCTGAGGCCGTGCTGGCTACCCACTGGTCAAAAGCATTTTCAAACAACAAATCAAACTCCGCAGAATCCTGGAAAAGACAGTGAAATAACGACTGATCTCAAGCTATAAAAACTGCTGCTTCCAGTTCACCACGTTAAGAGACTCATAAAGGCTAAAACACCTTTCAAAGACTTTTGTCCTAATCACAAGACTCATCTTTACTAGCACCTAGGTGCACAGAGAGTATACCTTTCTCTCTCTATCAAGCAGACCTCAAATCTCATGGCAGTTTTAGATGTCCCCAGGAAGTTAAGAGCACAGAAGTCCCTTTAGCTTAACTGCGTATCAACTTGTGTCAGAATTCAGACTATGCGTTGCCTTCCCAATTACTCGAAAAAGGATTCCTTTAGGTTCTTGGCACTGAACAGTATTAATCTTGTCCCTAACCTTTGGCAGGGAAAGATTACCCCTTACTATTTTAGTATATAGTTACATTTTACATTTTCTTTTTCCTCATTATTGATGTATTTTATGGTGAGTGTGTGAGCAAAGGGAATTTACTTGGAATACATAACTCTACCATGGAATGATTCTCTTATTAAATCCAATGGAATCCTAATACATCATTTTTAAGGGGCAGTTCATTTATTTGATTTTTGGTAAATAAACCTCATCACTGGTGGCATTAGGAGATGAATGGAGCTTCGATGAACATGGTTTTTCATATTGATAATCACAGATGTGATTATTTGAACTCTGCTCTTTGCACTTGGCTGATAAACATATTACTGGAGTAGCACTTCTTCAGTATTCATCCCCTTAGGTGCCTCCATCAAACATGATGAAAAGATTTATAATTTCCCGTAAGAAGGGCACAGGAATCAAAAAGTCTTAGCCACATAACTGAAATAGAGCAATAGTCTTGTTAAAAATGACTCAGACAACCATCACCCTGCCAAGGTCAATGAGAGAGTCATTGTGTGAAAAGAACACCTTCGCTCAGCACTGGACAGTTCACTCACCCGATTAGGATCGATGCCATTAACCTGGCGAAGCTGCTCAAGCATCCACTGTGATCTCCGCACGAACGACGTGGAGCCTTCAAACTGTTTGACCTTCGTAATGGATGCCTGTGTGGGTTTCTTGTTTGTCACTGCCAAGAAAAGACCAATCAGATTAGTGGGTGTGCAGGGTGGTTTGGGTCCTCATTCAGTGGTGTGTCTATCTTATACCTACGTACATATGTGCAATGAGAGAGAGAGAGAAAAACTGATATATCTGTTGTGTGTATAGAGAGAGATAAATATACATATGTGTGTATATACGTGTGTATGTGTATGAGTACAGAGGGGAGGAAGAGGGGGGAGGGAGGGAAGGAGGGAGGGAGAGGGAGAGATAAGTACAGAGAGAAAGAAAGAGAAGCAGAGAAAGAGAGAAAATGAATGAGTATGTGTACCTTTAGTAAGAGGTGAACTCAAAAGAAATAGAAATTATAACGTGCACCCTCAAGCAGTTACAATATAATTTTAATTGTAAGGGCAGCTTCATTTATGCCATCATCCACTCACATTGAACACGACAGGAATAATTAACACCAGGCTCCTCTAATGGAGGCTACAAATGCACAATGATGTCTAGCAAGCAGCATATGGGGCTGACAGGCATCAGGTAGGGGTAGTTAGGAAAGGCTGCATTTTAAAGGAAGTGCAGGTTACCGGTTCCCCTAGGGAGCTGCAATGCATATTTCTAATGTTATAGTCCAGTGTAAATATTCCAGGCTTTAGTGAGAAGATAAGAAGTAATACTTCACTCAAAAAAAAAAAAAAAAAAAAAAAAAACAACCCAACTATTTGGCTTTAAAATATAGTCAGTTTGTATCCAGTTTGCATCTGATTATAACCCCTGCCCCTCTCCACATATGAATTCCTGAGGTCACCACAACTGTAGGGCCAGGACAGTTCCTCCTCCTGGCCTTAGTCAGTTCTCCCTTCCATGCTGAGGATGGACCTTGTCACCTCTTGGACAGAAGTCAAGTACCAGCCACCAGGAGAGAGTCACTCTGAATATTTCTGTCTGCTTACTTCATGATTAGAGCCTCAAGGGAGGGGAGGTAATTAAGTATTTTAAAAGGGTTTTCCTAAAAGCTCCTCCTGAGCTCTGCCTGTAAGAACTGTAAGTTTAAATAGAAACGATGCTCTTAAAGGAGCCAGGAAAAGTGGAAAGCATTCCTTGTAATGAATGCAATCCTAGTAAGACCGTGCATCAGTGCTACATTCTTTCTTAGTTTCAAATAAGCCCACAGATCCCACACTTGCAAATAACCATGCAAATGCTCAACAGATGGCAAAAAGAATCCTTGCGGGATGAAGGACAGAAAACACCTATTCCAGTCATGATGGGTGGTAAGAAGGCTCTCCTTCACACATACCAGAGTTTTATCACAGCTTCAGTGTCTGGGGTCGTGAAAGCAGTGACCAAGAGGGGAAAGAAATGTGGGCACCCTGCCTTTAGGGTTGGTAAGAACCCTATGGTACAGGACTGGGCTGTTTTTAGGATCTCAGTACAATCTTTTCCCTTTGTTCCTAACCAGAATTTAGCAAACATTTTTAAAAAATTTCAAATAATGCTTAGGTTTACTGCCCATTATTCAGTTATATTTGGCTAGAAGCTTATGAACATTTCACACCAATTACATTTACTTTCACGGTTAAAAAGTCATCATCCCCTTAACACCCACGATCAAGGAAATGTTATAGTCTTCCATTCACAAATGGCCTGTCTAGCCTACAGCTCCATGTATAAGTCTGCTTAAGTCCCATTAGGAACAACCATTCCCTTCACTAAATTCACACAATATTACCAGTCTGCCAGGGCTGTCTGTCCACTTAATTTAATTCATTTATTTTATGTGTCTATATGACACAAAGGGAAGCTCTAATAGGTTTCTCTGATAGTCATGCCCTGCCTGCTCTGCTGTTTTAATGTCAAGGGAAACAACACACCTGGAATATATGTGGGTCCTAAAATGTGCTTAAACGATTAAAGAATGCTTTTCAATAACAGGAAAACATGGGTTCCTGTATTAGACACACACCCCTAAACACACAAAAGAGGATCTCCTCCTTTGTTTATGTAAATCACACGACATTTAGGCATCCTGGGAAACATGAAGGCTTTCCTTCTGACTTCAGTTAACTCATATTTTTATTTCTGGTCCATTTATTTCCAACTGGTTTATAGCATTATAAAAGTTCAAACATAAAGCAAGATTGTTGTAATTATTGGCATGTTTGAGACTGACACTTTTAGGAAGGCAAGTTCCATTGGAAGTTTGTCACTGAAATGAGAAGGGCAGGAACTCCACCCACCCAACAAATGCCCCACGGATTTGTTTAACAGCAATCGCACTGCAGAGTGGTCATTTTTAACGGAGGCAGTTACAACTTCATCCATTCCTGACTTTTTTCCCTCTGTTACGTTATTGCTTGCCCAGTTCTTGGAATCTGATAGTTTTCCTGGGCACTGAGCCTGGTTTGGTTTTAATTTTTGTTTATTGTTATTATCTCCAACATCCCAGTTTCTATTTTGAAGCAGGTGCCTTAAAATGATATTATTATATACACATTACATAGAATTAAATAAAGACTTTCCCCTGCTGAGGTCAAAACAGTTGTACAATCACACCACTGCCAGACTTTGAGTTCTGTGCTAGAAGGAGCCATGTTTTAACCCCTTCCTCTTTTGGTGTTTTTAGGATCCATAGCTGTTAAAAATAAGTCAGTCAGGCAGATTCCAGATGTCTAGTGAAAAACAGCAATTTACCTTCTCCTTCCCAAGGAAAGCTAATTGATAGCACACGCTGGAAAATGCAACCAAATGATCTGAATCAGTAATATCATAGTGCTGTATGTCCAACTACCCCCATATGGTAGAGTCCATATTCATTACTTTGAATAACTTTAAAGGCGAGATAATCAGGGCATTTCTGTCATGCCTTGATCATTCATGAGGAAAAGGTAAATATATAGGCATTCAAAGGGGATATGATATTCCCAGGTAATACTGCAGACCACCCAGAATCAGCCTGATCCCCTGGTTTTCCACTCAAGACCCGCACATCGAAATCACCTGGGAGTTTTACAACAAAAACACCAAACACTGTCAATCAGAATCCCTGGGGGTGTGGCCCTGGCATCCATATTTTAAATCGCTCCAGTTGACTCTGAGGCACTTTGACTGTTGAGAGCCACTGAATTATGTATTTAGTCATTTAACAAATATTTATGGCATATTTGTTAGATGGAAGATACAGAAGGAAGTTTTATGGCAATTCAGATATTGAGTAAAAAGTGGTTCTGAATCAAGAACTTTGGTGGGGAGGAGATAAGAATGATGCAACAGAGTATTAAAGCATAACAGGATAAATGACATAGGAGTCATCTGAGGTGTGTAGGTGGGGGTGCTTTAAGGACCAAGGTAGAGTTGGGGGAAGTCAGGGAGGTTTCATGAAGCAGCCATATTCCAGGGATTATAACATTAGCCCTCACCTGGACGTCTGTGATTTTCCCCAAACCAGCTTTCTGACCAGCTTGGCTATTCAAACTGAAATACATAAGACTGAACCATCTTTTAAAAACTCCTTGCCAAAGAAATCTTGAGAAAGAAGAACAAAGCTGGAGGTGACATGCTTCGGTAAGTCAAGTTTTGGGGTTATCCAAGCCTAATGCTTTTCACTCACTCCTGGAACCCACTGCTTTCTATGGTGGCATCAGAGGAAGACAGAAGCATGGGGCAAACCGAATCCAGGTCCTTCTGCTACCAGTTCTGACAAAAAGAATGTAGTTTTCATGGCTGCATGCCTTCTCTTCAGCCTTCATGTAGACTTATCTACATCTCAGCTGTAGTTAAGAAGCAGTCTTAGGAACTCTTATGTCTAGAATGTCATTACCACCATTACTCAAGTGGTGTAACATCTCTTTTTCATGAACTAATGGCGTAAAGAGTTCTTTTAAAAAATGGTCCAGGGGCTTTCGTGGTGGCGCAGTGGTTGAGAGTCCGCCTGCCGATGCAGGGGACACGGGTTCGTGCCCCGGTCCGGGAAGATCCCACATGCCGCGGAGCGGCTGGTCCCGTGAGCCATGGCCTCTGGGCCTGCGCGTCCAGAGTCTGTGCTCCACAACGGGAGAGGCCACAACAGTGAGAGGCCTGCGTACCGCAAAAAATAAAAATAAAAAACGGTCCAGCCATGAAACACTGTACAGAAATAAGACACTTAACCATAGTCAAAGAGTGGAGATCACCAGCCTTGCTTTTGCCCAGTGAGAAAATGCTATTTAATCAAAACCAGAGAAGCCAGCCAATAGTACAGTACCATCTAGTCGATCAAACCTGGTCTTGTATCAAGTTAGGAATTGGTGGAGGAGGGAACAAAGGCTGTTATCAGAAAGGAAAGACAGATATGCCAGTTACTTGCATGTGATGCCAAATGGCAGAAAAACACATACTCTGCCAGGGATTACGAGGCTGATCCTCCATTTCAAGGTCCAAAGGTTGTGAGACTGCTTTTTTTTTAAAGTCACTCTTTCCTCTACAATCTCATTATTCAGAGTATCATTTCTCAATCGTCCCAAACAGGAAAATCAGTTTTGCCCAAATACAAAACATCTAGTCTCAGTCCTAAGACATTATTTTAAAGAAAACAAATAATCAGCATTTAAAGAAAATGATGACTCACAACCTCTACCATCTCACTTTTCATAGATATTATATTTTCACTAACACAAACATTTCTTTACACATTAAAGTCAAATTGAATCATCTTATAACTTTATGTGGTCATTTCTTATTAAAAAAAAAGATGAAGAACAAATTGTATCTACAATATAATTTGAGGTCAAGGCTAGGCAGCTAAAACGTAGAATTTACCATACCTATGTACCTAAGATATCTAAAAATGTCTGTCATCATGCTTAGCCCTCTCCTGATCTCGTAGTTGAGTGAAAGTCAGCATTCTGTGGTGTGACTTAGCCCTCTGCTCTGCTGGAGTCTAACGGCCAGACGTTTTGATTTCAATAAGACTGTTGACGAGAAATAAACAATTTGGAGCAAGGGAAAAAAGTGATGTCCACATAGAATCTCATCAGGGCTGCTCTC